TCACATAATGCAACATATGTTTGTGCTTTAACACCACTAATACTGGATAGCATTATTCACTGACTAAATATAAACATGTTAAAGTTCAAAGGCTTCTGTAACCATGCTTATAAATTTCAAGATGAACGAGATTTTTTAACCCTATGAGAAATTAATGATATTTAACTTGTAATAAATGTAGCAAAAATGCGATCCCAAACCCATGAATTTTTTGCTGACTTTATCTTAACATTCAATTTGTACCATCAGGGTCCCGAAACCTTTGAAAAATTAGAGCATGGGGTTCAAATGTCCATCCATTTGACCATTAATTGACCGAGAAATTTGTATTTTGACCAAATTTAAAGATGACAAAATAGTAAATTCCTCATTATTCCACTTAAATTTTACCTTTTTACTTTTGTCTTTTTTTTGTTTTCATTATTTTATGTGAAATAACGAGGAATGTACCATTTTGTTCTCTTTAAATTTGGTCAAAATACATGTTGTTGGTTCATCCATTTGTACCCTCAGATGCTAAATTTTCAAAGATTTGGAACCGTTTGTGATACAAACTGAAAATTAAGGTAAAGTCTGCAAAAAAATCAAAAATTTGGGACCTATTACAATTTTCCCTAAAATGTATGCTACTGGAAGTTTCTTCACATCTTTCACGGATATAAATTAACTCATTGTTTCTTATCAGTTTACATGAATTTTTTTGTCACATAGAATTGTCAAAGAATTATAATAATGCAGTTATTGTGTAGTCAGTTCCTGGAAATGCCTGAGAGCCATTGGTTTCTTGCCGTTGACTTGTTGGAGTCTTTTGTGACCAATGTTGCTGTCAAAGAAGTTCAAACTCAACGTGGAGAAATGGGTTTTAAAATGAAGAAATTTCTTAAATACAGTATCCTAATCTCAGAACACTTATCTTTAGATAAGAATTAATGACTTAATATTATTCTTGATAATGATCGGTAATCCAAATTCTTATATATTGATCATTTTTTTCATATTTACACGAAGTGGAATTTTACTCATAACATTGTCCCTCAAGACGGTGCACTATTTGATGTATCAATTTTGAAATTCATTTGAGTGCCACCTTTTTCATTTTTATTTTACCTATTATTACCTTACTGAATTTTAATCAATGTTCGAACACTCAATCCAAGAAATGGTCGGTCCAAAATTATTGTGCTAAAACACTTTTTAACTTTACAGTTGTGTAGATGCTACACGTGCTGAAAATTTTTCACAGAATTGTTACAAAATTTCATTTGACGCATTATCATTGATTCCGACAAAAATCACAAAAAAAGTACCATACAGGTGCTACCAACAAAGTATCTTTAAGCTGTCTGTGAGAGAATCCTCGTGCGCAGGGACTAATGCTTAACTTTATAAATAGTATCTCAATAAAATTTAAGCATCTGTTTGGTAGGAATTAAATCAAAATTTTAATTTTAAAAGTTAACAATTAATTTTAATCACACATTTCATAGATACCACAATTTTTCAACCACATACTTTATCATTTTTCATCAAAATCTACTAAAAACTAATTCTAATCCCACCAAACTGGAGCTAAACGTTTGTTTATCTAATAATTCACGTGACCAACTTTTTCAACAAGAACAACGTTCACGTCATTATTTAGCGGGCATACTCTTAATTTTTATTTTATTAAAATTATTATGTATTATGTGGGTTCTAAGGTACACGAGGAATGAAGATGCCTAAGTGTTTTTGTAAATTACATTGGTCAAAATTAACATCTCTCCTGAAATCAAAACACACATCTTTTACCTGTCGTTCAAAATTCCTCCGGTTTGCTCGTTGTCGGCCATCGTAACCTACGCACAGTAGATCACAGTCGCTTGCAAGCTCTTCAATTTCATCGTCGCCATCTCGCCGACCAAGGAGTCTTCTATTTCGACGTTCATAAAATTGCAAAGGAACGATGTCGTGATTCACAACTGGGTTCCTACGCGTGCCTCCCCTGTCGAGCCCTGGTCCAGCTTGCCTCACGCCTCCTCTATCATACTAAGGTCCCGCCTATTGTCGTCATTGATGATTAGTAACAGGCTTGGGTCGAAGTCCGGTTCCAGACTAAGGTGTTGGTTAATGTCCGCCGTATCCCTATGGCCTCTCTATTCCAAGTCAATATCCTCGTCGGAATCTGAGTCATCTTCTTTCTGTCGGTTTTCTTTCAAGTTTGGTTGTTTCTCCATGGACTCAGGCCCGCTCTTCACAGTCGACGCAGTCATCATCTGCGTGAGTTTGGAAAGCGTTTCGTCGATCCCCTCGATTCGTTGTTCGAGTTTGTCAAGCCTCCGTTCGTCGTCAACGGTTCGACTGCCACCAGTACCTTCGTCGACAATCGGATTAAGTCAATTTCCTTAATCTGATACCAATTTTGGTATGAAAGCGTTATGTGAAATTCTTGTAATAAGAATTATGTAATAAATAAGAACAATATTTCAATAATCGTATCTTGTATATATTGAATAATAATTGATTATTGTTCAAAATTGTACAATACATTTGTATTTATAGACAAAACTATTCCCTAATCCTATTAATATAAGGAAACAAAATTCTAAAAGGAAATAAATTAATCATAATCAAAACAAGACTTAAGAATATACCTACTACAACTAGAAAAGGAAAATAGAAAAGATAAACTCCTCGATAAAATGAAACTATTAATTGTAGTTGTGATGTACTATATTGGTAAATGTGGAGAAACGTGTATTTAAATGAAGAAACTTCTTAAGCTACTTTGCTGGAAATTAATTTAAGAACATCTATCTTAATTCTGTAAAATAATATCTCAATTTTGACGTAGAAATTTCACTTTTAATAATGAAAGTTTATCTTAAAAAGTCATTATTTTATGATTTTGTCGAAATATTGGTTATGGAAAGACTTTAAGTGAAATTTCTCGCATACCTTGTCATTCTAACTGATTAGTTTGATTACGGATATCACCGATTAAAATCAACAACTCCGACGACCAAAAAAAAATAGTTGTCGTGATTAAAACTCTTTACTTTAACAATTACTATATTATTTATCAAAAAATAAATAACCATGTGTAGGATAATGTTTAAATAATGCAAGTAAGATGTTATTCATCATGGAAAATTGCAATTTTTTGTAGTAATGCTTCTTTCGTAATTACACACTACAATTTCATACGTGAAACTATGGGCTTGTGTGGGAGGGTTAAAATTGAAAATAGAGCCGTTATTGTTGACTTTTATTAGACGAGTGGGGCCCAATAACGGCCATATTTTCAATTTTAATTGACTTTTAATCCCTCCCGAACGGGGTCTATAACTCGAATGTAGTTAATTGAGATATTAAAAAAAACATAGATGAATTATAGAATTTGTAAGTATAACTTTCTGTTTAACATTATAAAGGAAAAGGCACAATTAATGTAATAACATTATAAAATGAAACATTAACATAGTAATTATACAATCCAAAAAATAGCCAAAAAAAAAAAACATACAAAATATAACATGAAAATAAAATTTACTAATTAATGGAATAACACAAAATAATGTAAATGACAACGTTATTTTGGCTTTGATATCGTGCTGGAGACTATAAGGGTCCGTTTGATAAGAAAATATGGAAATGAATTTCAATTTCATGTTAGTTAGAAAATAAAAACTCACAAAACCCATATGAATTCATTTTCCATGAAAACAAAGAAAATACAGTTTAAAGTGGTTATACCTTGAAATTCAATTTTCGTTTCCACGTTGCAATTAAACGGTCATTGTGGAATTCGTATTCCGCGAATGTGAGATTTTTTATGAAATTTGTTACAATCAAACATGACCTAAATTAAATATGATTGAAATAAGATACCCAAATCCAATGAAAATTGTATAATTATATATTGAAGAGGAACATCCAAAATTCACAATCAATAATCGAGAATTATAAGCAAGAATCAAGAAGAAGGATCGGAGCAATTAGATTGAAGAACAAGAAATCAAGATTCAAGATTCATTATTCAAGATACAACTCAATGGATTAAAGTATGCTTCGCATTTATTAATTTTCTTGATGACATGATATGGAGATATTGATAATTCATAATATTTTTTAAAAGCTTAAGTTCTAAGAAAAATTCAACAATTATGCGTTACTTCTGAGCCTTTTATAAATCTGAATCAGAAACCTAAACGCGAAAGGCACAGCAGCAGCACCAAAAACAGCACCAAATCTCACTGATTCATCAGGTGAAACGGCAAATATTGCAGATGCATAGGTTGCAAACATTCCCAGAGTTGCAGCCCACAACTCAAGACAATAAGGGAATTTGTAGGTGAGAGACGTCAGTACAAGAATTGATGAAGAAAGGGCCAATGTGTTTGAAGTTAAAAAGAAATGAAATGCTACATTTCGGCTCGCGTATATCGCTGTTCCTGCTTTATGTCCATCGCTGTCTTGCCAAACTCCACCAGGCGGATTCACTCCAGCCTGGAAGGTTACGGCGATGATCANTATCAGCAGAACGTTTCGAGTGTCGGTTGGCGTGTCCACGTCTTCGTCATACCGAAGCCTGAACCAACTTCCCTTGGATACTTGAGGTGCACCAGCCATTTTTTTCAATCGAGGAAATACTAGGGAGAGTTTGTCACGATCTTTATGAAATGAATTAATCCTGATATTGAAGTCTTTATATGTACAATTTCTGGTCAGTAAATGTCTGCTATACACAAGTTTGAATATTCGACGAAAGTTCATCTTCGAATCATCAGGGGTGGCCATAGGTTTTTTGTATCCGTATGCACAGTGCTGTTCATTATTGAACAAAAATTTAGAATTATTTGCCAATTGGGTTGTCAGTTCAGCCTGCCGTCCCTAATGGCTGCCCCTGTGCGTGTATATAATTTTCCTATCAGTTTACATGAATTATTTTTTTGTCACGTTGAACTGTCAAAGAATTATAATAATGCAGTTATTGTGTAGTCAGTTCCCTGGAAATGCCAGGGGCGCCATTGGTTTCTTGCCGTTGACTTGCTCGAGTCTTTTGTGACCAATGTTGCTGTCAAAGTGTTCTCTAAGTTCAAAGTTAACGTGGAGAAATGCGTTTTTAAATGAAGAGATTTCTTAAATACAGTATCCTAATCTCTGAACACATATCTTAAGTTTAGATAAGTATTATTGAGTTTTGGATTTTCATCTTAATATTGTTCTTGATAATGATCGGTAATTCAAATTCTTATATATTGATCATTTTTTTCGTATTTAAGTGACGTAGAATTTTACTCATAACATTGTCCCTCAAGATGCGTTATTTGATGTATCAATTTTGAAATTCATTTGAGTGCCACCTTTTTCATTTTTATTTTACCTATTATTACCTTAATGAATTTTAATCAATGGTCGAACACTCAATCCAAGAAATGGTCAGTCCAAAATTATTGTGTTAAAACACTTTTAACTTTACAGTTATGTAGATGCTACATGTAACGAAAATTTTTCACAGAATTGTTACAGAATTCCACTTGACGTATTATCATTGATTCCAACAAAAATCACAAAAAAAGTTACCGTACAGGTGCTGTCATCACAGTACATTTAAGTTGTATGTGAGAGAATTCCCGTGCGAATGGAATAATTCTTAACTTTATAGATACTTAGAATCGTAGTATCTCAATAAAATTTAAGCATATGTTTGGTAGGAATTAAAATCAAAATTTTAATCTAAGAAGTTAACAATTAATTTTAATCACACATTTTATAGATACCACAACTTTTCAACTACATGCTTTATCATTTTTTTTTTTTTTTAATCAAAATCTACTAAAATTCGTGTCTTTCATCTTAGCACAGAAAGGGACACCGTGCGGCAGTAGTTTGCTCCGCTAGACTTCCTTCCGCCTTCTCTCGATCGTTTCGTGAAGAAAGAAAATTTGATTACAATTTGTAGAAAACTTGCAACATAAAATTAAAATCAATTGAAAGTAAACTGATCATTGATTGCTTGAAAGCTAAAAATTACAATTGATGAAAGCGGGAAATTACAATGGTTGGTGCATGGAGTGAACAGCAGAAAGTTTGAAAAATTGTTTGAAAGACTAATACCCCTGTAATAGCTTGCGGAACAAAAACCTTATATATTGATCATTATTTTGGTATCTTAACATTGTCCCTCAAGATGGTTCGTTATTTGATGTATCAATTTTTAAATTCATTTGAGTGCCACCTTTTTCATTTTTATTTTTGTTATGACTTGTTACTAGCATTCGCCACGTGGCTGACCCAGTGAAGTTGTGGACTCATTCCTGCCAAACCACCAGTCATAGAAGACGAGGCCCAAATGGTAATTTTCGAGGCCCATTATTAATTTGAGGTGAACGTGCTAAGGAGGTCTAGATTCGAGGCCCAATAGGTCCGAGACTCCACTCCAATTAGTGACGGCCCACGTGCAGAGATTTTGAATTTATGAAAGAGATTTTATTTGAGTGATTAATATGACGTCTGTAAAAAGTGTATTTGTATAGTCTTGTCAATAGGATGTAAGAACATTAAATGCTTTGTAAAAGTAGGAAATCAAAATCATGGCTAGGATTTGATGCTTCGGCCGTAGTAATGAGGAATCTACCATTTAATCATCTTTAAATTTGGTCAAAATACATGTTTTTTGTTCATCCATTTGGACCTCAGATGCTAATTTTTCAAAGACTTGGAACCGTTTGTGGTACAAACTGAAAATTCAGGTAAAGTCTACAAAAAATTCAAAGATTTGGGACCTATTGCAATTTTTCCTAAAATGTATGCTACTAGAAGTTTCTTCACATCTTTCACGGATATTTCTTATCAGTTTACATGAATTATTTTTTTGTCACGTAGAATTGTCCATGAATTATAGTAATGCAGTTGTTGTGTAGTCAGTTCCCTGAAATTGCCTGAGAGCCATTGGTTTGTCGCCGTTGACTTGTTGGAGTCTTTTGTGACCATTGTTGCTGTCAAAATCTTCTCTAAGTTCAAACTTAACGTGGAGAAATGCGTTTTTAAAAGAAGAGATTTCTTAAATACAGTATCCTAATCTCTGAACACATATCTTAAGTTTAGATAAGTATTATTGAGTTTTTGGATTTTCATCTTAATATTATTCTCGATAATGATCGATAATCCAAATTCTTATATATTGATCATTTTTTTCGTATTTAAATGACGTAGAATTTTACTCATAACATTGTCCCTCAAGATGGTGCGTTATTTGATGTATCCATTTTGAAATTCATTTGAGTGCCACCTTTTTCATTTTTATTTTACCTATTATTACCTTGATGAATTTTAATCAATGGTCGAACACTCAATCCAATAAATGGTCAGTCCAAAATTATTGTGTTGAAACACTTTTAACTTTACAGTTACGTAGATGTTACATGTATCGAAATTTTTTCACAGAATTGTTACAAAATTTCACTTGACGCATTATCATTGATTTCGACAAAAATCACAAAAAAAAGGTACCATACAGGTGCTGCCAACACGGTACATTTTAGTTGTATGTGAGAGAATTCCCGTGCGAATGGAATAATTCTTAACTTTATAGATACTTAGAATCGTAGTATCTCAATAAAATTTAAGCATCTGTTTGGTAGGAATTAAAATCAAAATTTTAATCTAAGAAGTTAACAATTAATTTTAATCACACATTTTATAGATGCCACAACTTTTCAACTACTTGCTTTATCGTTTTTTTTAATCAAAATCTACTAAAATTCGTGTCTTTCTTCTTAGCACAGAAATAGACACCGTGCGGCAGTAGTTTGCTCCGCTGACTACCTTCCGTCTTCTCTCGATCGTTTCGGGAAGAAAGAAAATTTGATTATAATTTGTAGAAAACTTGCAACATAAAATTGAAATGCATTGAAAGTAAACTAATCATTGATTGCTTGAAAGCTAAAAATTACAATTGATGAAAGCGGGAAATTACAATGGTTGGTGCATGGGGCGAACACCAGAAAGTTTGAAAGATTATTTGAAAGACTAATACTCCTGTAATAGCTTGCGGAACAAAAACCTAAGTGATAGGAGTAGACGTTTAAATGCCGAGGAATCATACTAAACGTTTATCAATATCAAAGTTATTTTATAATTGAAATAAAATATTACAATGGAAATGAAATTACAACTCAAACTTGAACTAATATTTACAATGTGCGGTTGAAGTTGGGCAAACTGCGGCTGCGATTGGATCAAGAGACTTAAGTAAAGTTGCGCGGTCCTTGACACCATGTTTTAAAGAACTTGACTTGTTCAAGTCTAAACACCAAGTGACCATGTATGGAGTTAAAAGTGTGCTTTTGGTTCAAAGTACACATGGAGAAACGTGTATTTAAATGAAGAAATTTCTTAAGCTACTTTGCTGGAAATTAATTTAAGAACATCTATCTTAATTCTGTATTCCAAAACTTTCCTCCACTGCTACCCAGAGTTTGTTCGAACTAGTGCAGCCCATCACCTTCATGGCGATTTCTGGAGTCATGGAAGAATACAACCATCCCATAAGGAGCTGA